ATATAAACAATATTTTTAATTATTGTATTCAGTTATTGTTTTGACATCCGTATATCGATATTAAGTGTTTTGCCAAATTTTATATCCAATGCACAGATAAAATTTCTCGGAAATCTATTCCTAAGTATAAGCTTTAAATATTAGGAATATGAATAGCAGTTAACATAAAAGCGTTTAAAGCTATTCGATTCCTTGAGATTATATACCTTATACATATATAATTGCTGGTTAAGTTAAAAAACAACATCTGCTAGAAAATCGTTTGTAAATTGAAATATTTTTTTTGTTGATTGCAAATTGTTTTAATTCCTTAACCGGTGATAATTTCAAAAAATTGAAGTGTCGTATCTCATAAAGCTTTGGAAAAATTCAGTGGCTCCACAAAATAAATACTAGGTACGAACCGGTATAAGTATGTACTTACTTATTACTGCGCCAAAGTAAATTGATCCGTCAATATTAATACCAAACACTATAGAAAGATAAGTGTTTACCTCAGTTGTAGTAGTGTTAAATTCATATTATAATTTAAATTTTATATGAAATTAAGTAATATTTATATATTTTATCGATATTTTGAAACTTTATTTCACAGCAATTTATTTTGAAGTAGTTTTGAGTTTTAAAACTATTTCAGTCTCTATGAGTAAGGATTGGCAACAACTTGAAAGTTTTAGATTTTACAACTATAATAGGTACTTGCGAATTTACGTATGTATTCTAAAAGTCGATTTATAAACTTGTCGCTGATGTTGCTGTTCGCCGTTGACAAAGGTATCCGTTGACATTGACGTTGAAAGTTGGCACGCCGTTGAGGTGACGTTCGAGATGACCAACTTTTAACTTCCGCCGTTACGTTGATGTTGACGTTGGGTTTTCAACCAATCAAACTGCGGTAGTGTGCAGTGCTGCTAACTTGAAGGAAAATCCACTGAAGAAGGGGGACATTTTTCTGGTTGAAAGCATTAATTCCACGAAAATTAAATTTTGATAGAGATAATGAAGTCCACTAACATTAAGCCATTTAATTACAAGTTTACCGAAACCCTCATATTTTAAATAGCTGCCGTCATTTTCTACACTGTAGCTTTCTGTCAGTATTTGTGCATTGTTAAAGATAGTTCTCGACGTTTAAACCAACAAGAGTTATTGCTATTCGTCCCAAAAGCAGATTTTATTATAACTACAAGGGCTTACATTTTACCCTTTTTTCTTAATACGTGTAGTCTTCTTTTCACAACAAGAAAGGGAAAACATGTTTAAAATGGTAAATTTGTATAGGGAAATATTGATTTTGCAATTACGCTCCGCCCCTCGGTTTGACAACGAATGAAAAATTCATCACGATTGAGATCGAGACGGATGGGTGGGGCTTCTCTTTTGGTTTTCATTTTCAATTAATACATTTAGTTTTCTTTGTATAACACGATTACTTAAAGAACATATTTCATATGGTAATTTCTCGTAGCAAAATAAGGGGGCTTATATTTTGTCTTTTTTTTCTTAATTTACATAGCCATCTTTTCACAACAAGAAACTTAGAATATCATTAAAATGGTACATTTTTGCAAGGAAATATGGATTTTACAATTATAGGGCAAAATCGATATTTCCTTGTACAAATTTTCCATTTTAAACATGTTTTAAATTTCATATTGTGAAAAGAAGTCTACACATGTTAAAACAAAAAGGCAAATGTAAGTCCGCTCACCCGCCCCATCTCAACTGTGATCATTTTTTTTTCTTAGAAACTTAAAACACGTTTAAAATGATAAATTTTTGTAAGGAAATATGGATTTTGCAATTAGTCTCCGCCCTATTTAGACCAGGGCAGGTATGGGTGGAGCTTAATCTTTGACTTTAATTTTTTCTTAATATACATAGTATTTTTGGAACAACACGATACTCAAAAACATGTTTTTAATTTCTCGGAGAGAAATAAGGATTTTGCAATTAAGCTCCGCCTTCTTGGCTCACGACGAATAAAAAAAATCATCACAATTGAGATGGGGCGGGTGGGCGGGGCTACATTTTGCCTTTTTTTCTTAGTATGTGTAGTCATCTTTTCACAACTAGAAACTTAAAACATGTCTAATGGTAAATTTTTGTATAAATCAACTTAAATCCTCCACTTTTCTTCTACAACTCCTTTAAATATGGCAAAAGTTGAACATTAAAGTTACTATCACCGGCAACTTAGCAACGGAGTTTATAAATGACAGTTTTCAGCTCTTAAAGCAACTGCAATGGGAACTTCAACATCAACAGCAAGTTTATAAATCCCACTTAAAAGTTGCTTCTCAACGATCAAGATACTACAAAAGCTTTTTTTAATGGTATATGTATATTTGATGTCCAATTATTTAAAAAGTGTTTTTCTCTTCAACTTCCAATTTATCATTCACTTTCGTTGTGAATTTTTTTAAATAACTGAATAATCATGGTAGGTAAGTCTCTATACTACTTAAACGAAATTTACGTGTTCACTAAATTCTTACGCTGAATAAGTTTTAATTTGGAATGGTGCAGACTAACTACAAATGAAATATTAATTCGAATAAAAAAAATACTATGAGGTATCAAAAAGAAGTTTCCTCGTCCTCGAAGTACAGTTCAACAAATTTAGCTTCTTCGAAAAATTATAAAATTTGATTTTGCGAATTTTATTTTTTTGTGATAACCCACATAAGTTAAAATAAAAATATGTGTGTTTAAGTATAGGTAAAGGAGCATGCTATGCGTATATTTTATGTGAGTTTTCCATAACAATAACAAGTTACAGTAAGCAATATAATAAATTCAACATGGTCTGTTGCAATAAAAGATCTACACCACAGTAATTCGATTTTTCCTGTAATTTATCAAGGACGCCTATTTTAATTTGAATAGGTACAGTGTAATACTAATATAATAACTGCATTCTCAAATTTTACGAAAAATGGGGAGAACCGTTCTTCATCTGATAGAAAAAATAAATTGCTTCGTTCATTCATTTTTTTGAGTACCTTGTATAAACCAATTCTAAAAAAATGAAGATGAATCCTAAGTATAGACACAATATTTTCCACATTTTAGATCGGATTTATCCAGCAAAACTTTCATCAAGTTCAACTTGTGGATATCTTTTTTTAATTGCATCTTATACTGCTGTATTTTTACTTTTTTTTTGTAATTCACAATTTTGTTTATGATTACAACCATAGATTTTCTAGAAAGTAAAAAATAATAATAATAATGGCTACGAATGACAGATATAGCAAAATTTATATTTAATTATTAGCAACATAGTACCTTATCTTTTAAGTCTATAATTATTAGTTATACATAAAATTGTCAAACAACCACAAAATAAAAATTCAAAAACCGACACGAATAATTTTTGAGATAACAGATGCGTTCAGAATGAATGTCAAAATTTGTGATTCTTTACTTTGTGTAATTTTACTGCAAAGGAAAATTATAGCTCGCAATTTGTTTTTATTGTGACTAAAGATAAATGTGGTTTTTACCTACTAATGGCTGTAATTGTTTTTACTGAACAGTAAAGTAAAGGACGACCACAACAGAATTAAATTTACATAAATGCCTGTTCCTATGAGTAGTTCGAATAATCATAGTAGACGTAGTCGTCATGCAATATTGTATTTGTTGTAATAAAAAAATATTATGATACCTGAACGGTTGTTAACATTTACATATAGATATAGCAAGCAGATAAAATGACCTTTAAAACAGCCTTAAATAACCTAGAAGAAACACAACGCATGTTAAGAAGTACAAATTTAAAAATTTTAATCAATTTTTTAGTACTGTTTTGTATAAGGAAAAATCTGTTTAAAATTTTAGCACAACAAAATAAAATTATGTCGATTATGTTTGAGAATTCTTAAAATGGTATCTATTCATTTAAAAAATTCGTGTAACCTGATAATTGTACAAATCACTTTTATCTTTCACGAAAAATCCAAATATATCTACATACTTGATTTTTTCTGATTAAAAATTTTAAAAGCTCATCCCAGAATCGTCATTAATTTAAATTTATGAAGTAATTTGAATTCAATAATAAAAAGCCTTTATTTTATTTCGTCGCTGAAAAAATTAACATTTTTAGTGACGGAAAAACTGGAGACGAAATGTCAAATGTAATTTGAGCCACCCATTATTTTTACAATTAGTTTTATACAGAATTATATTAGATATATTTTTAAAATAATAAAATTTCTGCTACCCGGAGCTTGTGATTTATGAATCAGTCCAGTGATTGTGCACATTCGTAAAATCGGAAAAAAGGTAAACAAGATGCAAATCGCAAAGTCATAACCGTAAAAGTAATTTGCATTGAAATAACAATTTGAAGAATTAACAGATGCCTCCTGGGTTATTCTCAAGTACGTATTTACCTATCGCATTATGAATCATTAAAAATAGTTGAATGAACTCGTGAAAAAAGCAATCACGATCTTGACCAAACTATTATGAACCCGCGAAGACCTAGACCTTCTACGTCAAGCTATAAAAAGTGATAAATGCCATTAAGATCATTTACTTAGAAAAAATACTGCGGTAAATATGTACCCGTCGGATGTTTTCAGACTCAGGAACATCCTCTCTTCTAATCTAGACATTAATTACTATTTTTTCCTGTGCCGAAACCAGTCTTCGAGCAGCTAATTTCTCTTCCAAGGCAAGTTCAAAGTCAAGTACACGCACGAAAGGAAAAGTAAATTTTCTTCAATGAATAAAATTAAATGTTGCACCATCATTCTCTGTGGGCCATTCATCATCAAAAGCAATTATGTCAACATTATGCAAAGGTCGACCTTTTCTTCTCGTTTTGTCATCATTGTACAGTTCCGAATTAAAATAATGGGACATATCAATGTCCGCTTCATCATCATAACTCGATAATTACCACAATTACTCTTAAAATCAACTGACAGCTATTGTTTCGGTAATTTATAAATCCATCAACGAACTTTTCAAAAAATTAGTCCAACATGAAAACTCTCATTCTTTGCGTGTTATTTTCTCTGTACACCATACCCAACGTAACGCAAACTGCAGAAAATAGTAGCAATAAACTGGGAGATGTCTTGAAAAATCACACAAAAGCGGTTTACAACTCCACGAAAAACCAACAAGACGAAGAAGAAAACTTACTGAAGCAAGAAACCCACAAATTACTGTCGGAATGCGGCGTGGAGACCTCGGATAATAATTACGACGATAACGATTATTATGGCAACAGGAGAGGGTCGAATAAACCAAGAAGAGGTAACAATTATGACTTCGGTGATTCTGGCTCCAGACGTAAAAATTCGAACCGGCGTCGAAATAACAACAGAGATAAAAGTAACGAGAGTGGCGATTATGGTAACAGTTACAATAATCGGTACGGTAACCGTAATAATGGTAACCGTTACTCCAACTATGATAACGACAGCGACGACGACAATGATTCGAATGAGAGTAACCATCGACACGGGAACCGCAAACAACAAAGTAATTCGAATAAACGTTACGGGAATAAACGTTACAATAATGAAAACTATAGCGACGAAGAAGAGTCGAGTGAGTCTAATCAGGGTGGTTATAACAACAAGGGAATGAAACGGTTTAACAGAACTGCATCATCATCAAATAACAAAGGTTATTCCAATAATAATGGTTACAATAATGGTAACACTTACGGAAGTAATGGTTACAATAGTGGCTACAGTAACGGATATAATAATGACTGTAAGGATGAAAATCGCGGCTACTACGACAGCAACAACCGTAACCAGTGGAAACCATATGGTGCCAATGAAGGTATATTTATTTTATCACAGTCGGAAACCAGTTAATGGGTTAATTTTAGGAAATTATGGTTATGATAGTGGGACTTATGGCTACAATTCATTTGGAAATAACGGTAACATGAGACGAGGCGTCAGCGGACCAGGATACAGCAGGAATTTCGACATAAATCTCAGAGCGAAGCGATCAAATAATGACGAGGATTCGCAGGTAATAGGTTACAAAATTCGACAGATTCTTGGTTGTTAATTATGTAAATGTTTATAGTGCGTCAGCCAATGTGTTTTCGGTTATCTGGAAGTGGTATGTATTGGGAAATGGGAAAACACGGATCGTGAAAGTTTACTTTGTTACAGTTAGACGATAATAGAGTGCCTTCGGAGACATTGGTCATTAAATGGCTGCAGGACCATTTATCAAACGATATGAAAAGAATCAGAGCTCTTCGGGAAGCCAGACGATGTTTTGCGAGACTGTCCACTTCGGGTAAGAATGTAAAGAATGTGATTGAAGTTGTAAATTTGATTGTTAATGTTGTAGATATAGAAGATGGATGTGAGTTTTCGCAGTCGTTATCTAAATGTTTAAATTTAGAACTTGAATGAAAAGAATGTAAACAAATTATCAATAATTTAAAAATCAATAAATATGCTACAGGTGTCGTCTCTCTTTTGCTTTGCCTAATTTAGAACTTTTTTAAGATATTTTATAGGTTGTCCGGTATGTAGATATTCCATACAACATGTTTAAAGTGTAAATAAGTAATTTTAAATTTAAGAAACAACTTAATTAATTATAACATAACATCACTGATATTTATTACGAGTTCATTTAGATGATAAATTATTTGAAATAGTAACCGCAAATTTTCATTGAAGAAATTTCCATAGTTGTTAAGCATTTTACACTGCCCACACGAAAAAAATTCTAAATAAATTTAAATAAATTCTATGAAAGTACCAGAGTTGCGTTTTTTCCGACCTTGATGGAAGAATTATTCAAGGCACGGTTTTCTCCGGGCGTCATTTATGAAAATTTAGTACCTAGTTTTGTAGCCGGTACAATGTAGTAACAACTAAATAAAATTTAAAAATTACATAATGTCTAGACCATGTATTGCATTTTTCATCTTTGGGAATTTTGGAGTATTTTTATACAATAATAAATATAGACTTCCTGTTGGGATTAACGCGTCATAAAAAGTTAAAAAAAACTTGTGCCAAAGTATTTAACCTGTTTTTATTGACGTCAAAAAGGTAACGGCATTTTTAATAAAAAGAAAAATCACCTATGGGATAAATATTTTGAATTTGGCAAAATTCACACTTTATGTGCCGAAATTTAATTTTTTGTATAAAATTAGCTATTTAAAAGATATTGATGTGTATATATATATTTAACACATCATGGTGACGAAAAATTAAGAAATACAAATTTAATTCCACCGTTTCTCATAGCTCACTGGTTTTATTATATATATTTTTACTTCTAGAACGTAAGCGAAAGCAAAGGAAGTATTGTAATAGAGTCCGTCGGCCAATTCTCTACTTTTACGTTTTCTCGACCTTTCATGACCCCTACAGTGCGAAGGAATAGGTTTCCCGTTTCCGTATGTCTGTCCGTCTGTCAGTCTGTCCTTGTTATTAGATAGATAATGTTCGAAAGTACTGGGTTGATTTTTGTCAAATTTTGTATTATATAAGGAATATAATGTAAATGGTAAAACGCTCACCAAAATTTGTCTACTTATCCCCACCAATAATGTTCTGACGTCACTGAATACTTTAAGATCTTGCAGACGTTTTGAAGTTATTGTAAACATAGTAACATTTAATCAAAATGTGACTGCTTATCCACCCCAAAAAACTGATACGTAATCTCAAAATTTTGCCGAATAAATTCTACCCAAAATGTGCAAAATGTGATGAGTTTTTACTTGTGATTTATCATTGCTTTAATATTTTTTAGATTTGCTCCCTATTTTCTGAGAGGACATGTCATTTCCCAAAATTAGTCTTATCTTAGCAAGGACTAGCCCCACCCACCCATTTCCTATTTTCTCAGAGGATTATGTCATTTACCAAAATCAGTTTTATCTTAGCAAATACTAGCATTTTGGCAAATGACACACCTTTTAAAAAAATAGAGGGCGGGTGAACGGGGCTAGTACTCGCTAAGATGAGATTTATTTTGGCAAATAATGTACCCTTTGAGAAAATAGAGAGCGGGTGGGCGGGGCTAGTACTTGATAAGATAAGACTTATTTTGACAAATAACATACCCTCTGAGAAAATAGGGGGCGGTTGGACGGGGCCAATACTTGCTAAGATAAGACTGATTTTGTCTCTATTAATCTTGTAAAAACTTGTTAAATTTAAAAGGTGTTAAATTGCAAATTTCCATAGTAACGAGTTATATTCCTAAACGTGATTGGGTATTTATTTTTTATGTTTCATTCTACTTCAAGAGCTAGGGAAGTTCTGTTGAAGCAATCTTCGACCAATTATTTTTATTTATTTTTAAACAGTTAAATTTTATACGCTGATGTGTTAATTCATCTCTGAAAGTTTCATGTCATTTTTTAAACAACGGATGTTCAGTTGAAGAAGTCATCAGGTTGGCGTTGTTTTTTTGATGGAAGACATCGCTTGTGTTTTATTAATCTATTCTATACTGTACCAAAAAGTGAGGTTAACTTGTATAATTCCCCGTTGTTAACTGTCAGGGATTAAACTCGTAGATTTATTGTAGACATACTTCACAATGTTTACAGAAAATCAAGGCCAGTTTGATATTTTGGTAAAAATTCGAAAACATTTAATTACCATTTAAGTACCATATTCTGTTCGTGAAACAAAATCAAAAGCTTCCTAACTTGTTAACACAAAATCTATCATTCTTCTGCAAACTGATAATAACGTAATACACCAATGCAACGAAATTTTCCTTCGTAAAAAAACCACAGAGAGTTATTGGCAATTAATATATGAATAGACGAAATTGTGTCACGGAAATAATTATAAAAATACATTAAATAAAAATAAAAAGTATTTGTCCACATGATAGTTGAATTGCTGCTAGCGGTCACTGTTTCAAATGTGACCCGATTCCAGCCAAATCCAGCGACTAGAGGCGCGGTTTCCATGGCAACAGTATACACAAAACGTCTGAATTAGTAATGATTTGGTCTCTGCTTTTATAGCAACGATATATCCAAGACACAACATCTTTAGACGTAAATTTTTATACTTTTCATACAAATACAAATGGAACAAGATAAAAAATTAATTGTGATAATTATGACGCAAACTACCGGGTCATTTTTTAAGTACTAAAAATTATGTTCAGTGTGTTTGTAGACGTTGTAATTTTAAGGCGTACGTGCACTTGTGTTATTAAAATCTTATTAAAATACCTTGAACATAATACATTAAAAATAATGTATTCAAAATAATAATAATAAATACAGTTGTAGTATTTCAGTAGCTGAATTAATTACTAACCTGTCATGAATAAAAACAGGAGAATTTGCATTTTGCTTCTTGTAATGATAATTAAATTTCTGGTATTGAATAAATAATAACAGATGTTAAGATCTTCAATTTCGTTACAGGTTGTTGTTTTTTTCTTTATATACACATTTAATATTTAAAAATAAAATACATACTCTAAGATTTTTTTCATTTACACTGATTTATTATGTTGAATATATAATTTTCTTAGAAGGAAATAATAATTTCTTCAAAATTCTAAATTTTTAAACCGCGAAAATGAAATTTTACGTGACTTGTCCTCGGTGGCATGAATAATAATAGCTAAGGGAAGCATTGTTGTAAAGTCAATGTTTGATTTAATATTTTTTTAAATTTCACACTTCTAAGCTTAGAGTTTCCATCTGTCATCTGTGTCTTATTTTTGTTAGCTGCATATACAGGGTGTCTCAGAAATAAGTACATTAATTTTAATCAGTTATAGAGCTCATTGAACTCAACAACTTTTTTTAGTAGAGTTTTGTCAAGAACTTTTTAATTATCAAGTTAAAAATTGTTAAAGTTATATCCCAATTAAGGTTACCCGCCCATGGATCCTTAGTCACCCATGGACACTAATAATTATTATAATTAATAATGTATGGTCAAAAACAGTTACTAGGATACGTATTTTCCTAATCGTGTCAATGTGACAAACATTTAGAGAGAAATTGAAAATCCTGATCCCTAATGGCATACGGAATTTCATTGGCCCAAATGTGGGTGTTGAACACCTTCCCTCGTGTAACCGACTTCATCACTTGATGGTATAAGAGATACAAAATTTGCTTGTTCGTTTATTTTTCTATTAACCCACTTACAAAAGTTTTGCCTACGTGGTAAGTCTGTTAGTTTCAATAACTGAACTTTCTGGTCCTGAAAGGGGTACATTTGTTCTCTGAGTATCCTCCAAATACTATTCTCCGATACATCACACTAGACAGTGATACGTGCTAGTGCCCGGTCGAGCTTCGACACTCTTCAAAACAGCCTCTTCAGTATTAGCAATTCTATTACTACGTAACTTACCCCGATCCTGAGGTACAGGTTTAAAAGATCAGTACTCTCGAAAATGCTACAACGTTCTTAAAACTGCGTACATTTGGCAGACGACGATTTGGGAGGTTTTCTGAAAAAATTCGTTGGCCGCGAGTGCCGTTTCTCCGAGCTTCACCGTACGTTAAAACGATATCGGTGCATTCCAGATTTGAAAACAAAGCCATTTCAACACATTTCGTCTATAAATTAGAAATCTGTGCCACACAAACTTTAAAGAGACAACGTTTAATAAAAACATTGACATAAAAGTGATTGTCAGTGTCAAAACGGTTGCTACGGTACCTTCTTCATTGTTGTAGTGTTGCTATTATTTAAGTTATTATTTAAGGTGAACATAGACGGCTCGTGAATATATGGGTGGGAAAATTCGAAATTCAACTTGAGTTTTCGAAAAAATGCTAGATAAAAAAGTTGTTCCGTTTCACGAGTTCTGTTACTGGTTAAAATTAATGTACTTATTTCTGAGACACCCTGTATATTTACCTGCCTCACAAGGAACTTGTAATTATATCGTAATTGTTATGTTTGCACGTCGTCAGTCTTATAGAAGCTTTGAAAACGTCATATGGATTGGATAATTAACTTTTCCTTTTTTGCTATTTTTGTATTTTGTTCTTATTTTATGGAACTTATAAGGCTACTTATGACTACTCAAGCAATACACGACTCTCGGAGTAATTAGTGCATTGTTATAACACTCTGTACCGTTAAATTTCTTATTATTAATATAAGTTCCATCATATTAATACTCATTTAATGCATCTAACCATATGATGCTTGTGTTAATTTAATTTATCTTAAGTGCTTTTTCTCAGTAAATAACCTTCCAATTTTCCTGACCAAGAATTTGGGGTTTCTTTGTTTAAATAAAACATAAAATTATTGTCTAAAAGATCTTACCTATTATTAACTTACACAAGAATTTATTGTACGTGAATGTATTTACCAATGAACGATTTCTCATTTATTTGACTAATAAGTCAGCATAAAATATCGTCTCCTGTACCGTGAATTTTAACATCGGAATAAATAAGAATGAATAATCAGTGTGATATTTTCAGGGCCCTTTCAGTCATTCTGAAAATATTTGTTTTGTTATGATGCTGATGTGACTACCACAAAGTTTGACGTGAGGATTTTGATAAAGCTTTTCTACAAATAGATACTTATTTAAAAAAGTTAATTGAACTATTTGTGCCCGTGCTTCGTTTGCTTCATTTTATAATCATTAAATTACAAACAAAAATGAGAAAAATTAAAAATAGAATAAATGTCTAATTAAATGTCCATATTTAAGTAGGTATCTAAATAATGCATAGGTGGGTACCTATTACGATAGTGATTTTCTTTTACCATCCACCATAAATAATTCTTTATAAAGCAGAACGATAGTAATTAAGATGTTTACATTAAATGGGGCGCATGTTTTTTTAGTAAAAAAAACAAAGGTCTAACGACAAAATCAGTAGCTACAGACATGGTATTTTTTCCATTTTAGCAAATTAAGTGCCTGCGAACCAATATCAAATATAGACGGTACTACTAAGGAATTACCATTTACCCATCTCTAAATCATTTACAATTACCATAGCAGAAAGGACCTTGATATTGTCTCCCATCTGTCTTATTGTCGTCTTTTTGCCACTCCGGATAAATCGAAGGCCATCCTCTCACGCATCACCTCATGCTATCAACGACACCAAGACGTATTTCTTATTTTATAAATTAGTTACACGCCGTCTTTAATCCACCCATTAAAGAGTGAATAACAAACAAAAAGCCAGTAATTGCTTCCTCTATCTAGGGATGTCTTTAGATGACTAGACACGATACGAACTTGGATGGATGCCTCGCGGAATTTGTAACGACCTTGTTGAAGAACAATAAACAATATCAAGCTCTTTATTGCTTCGTTTAAATTTTTTAGTAAAATTTAAATTGTCTGTTTACCACAAAAACGGTGGCCTATAACTAATTTCACGCTGTGATTGAGTCATTTAATAAGTTGCATGGACCATTTTGGTTTGTAGAGATCTAGATTAAACGTATAAGACCGATACTTCCGACTGGATTCATTGAATAGTAAATTGTTGTCATTAATCTCATTACAACAGGTACTAATAAGTGAAGGGAAAAAAACCCAATTATTTGCAATTGTAATTTATTAAATGATTCTTTGCAATCGACACGACGAATCCTAATAAAGCAGTCCTAAGATCGTATAAAAAGGTTTTCTCATTGTTTTCTTTTTCATTGTGTTCTTAAAGGGCTAGTTGTGCATTTAAGTGTTGCAAGATGAAGACAGCTGTAAGTACACTATTTTTTTTTATTTATTTATTTAATACACCTTGTGTATTAAATAAATATGTTGTACCAAATAGTGCATTATGGAACTTAAAATTGTATTTTTCAATAGAAAATTACTTACTAATTGTTTGAGATGGCGTTATAAAATTTTAGGTAGATATACCTAATAATATGAAAATATTAATATGTCCAATGTAATAGTGGTAATCAATAAATTAATGTTTCCAGAATTTCAGGAAAGTTAGACACGCCGTTTCGTAAATAACTGTTAAAATAAATCAGTTTATACTTACCTATTTTTTGGGACAACCTGTAGATTTGGATTTTTGTGAACGAAGTATAAGGATTCTTTCGTTACCTTTTCCAAGATATTTGCAACTTTATGAAAAAATTTGAAGGTAGAGGCTTGAAAATGTACAGAAAATATTTATAGTAACTTTGTTTTAATTACGCATGTAAGTGATTAAATTTGCAAATTGTTAGTTTTCTGTAGCTTTTCAAATGAGACGTCCTGTATTTTATAGTATTTTCGGAATTGCCAGGTTCGTTGACTTCGTTGGCGTTTTTTCTAAAATAATTCTTAAACTGTTACAATACAGTTTAATAAGTATAAAGTATCTGATTTGAAAAATATCAGAAAACTGCACTTCAAAATTTAACCATCCTGTATAAATAACTACAAACACTTTTAAAAAAATTTGACGTTCCTCAAGCCAATGTAACTAAAAAGTCTTACGCAAAATTTTCAGATGTTCGTCTTTAAATATGACGGAGTTATGAATTTTAAATACATACGACCAGTTGCTTACATGAAAATGCAAACATGTAGAAAATATATAGGGTGTGGCGTCTAAGAAATGTAACTATCATGTGAAATTGCAGCGCTAAATGAATTCTATCAAATTGTATTAGTGATTCTTTTTTTATTAATTCACGCGGAATGTGTAATCTTTCGCTACCAGACCGTTGGAACATACTGTATATTTGCGGTGAGATTAATTATCTTAACAAACCTTAATTAAGATGACATCGCCAATTTCTTGAACGTTAAAGAACATAAAGTAACTGGTTCGGTAGCTTTAAAGATCATTTGATTAATTAAAGTTGCCCTTGTTAGAATGATGCTTTGCTTAGTTATTTCATGCAAAGTAAAAAGTTTTCTTTGCTACATACCTGACTAACATAAATATTATGGGATTTGCATTTTTTTAATATCAAGTTTGAATTAAACATCTTTAAAAATAGTCATTCGCTGGGAAATAAAAATATTACCTTTGGATAAATAAAACAGAAATCGAAATTTAAGTCCTATTGTGTAAACTTTTTAATTAAACGTATAAAGATTGACACTTCTATGTTTCAGGTAACATTTTTTTTTTTTTTAATAAAATGTTGATACAAGGAGTAAATAAAAATGAAACACGTTGTCGTATCAACTAAATCAAATTTTAATATACAGAGTGCTTATAAAAAAATAAAATAATAAATATTACGATTTTCAAACATCCATACCCCAGTTAGAACACCCTGCATTTTAGTACTGCATCTTACTCTATGTTTTATTCTTTTTCTTTTAATATGTCGATATAACTCTCAAAAAAGTAGAAAAATCGCCATAATTATCAAGTTTAAAAATAGAAAATACTCAACAAAAAATGAAACGAACAAAAACAGAAGATACATTAATAAAGTACATGGTTTTCTATTTGAAAAAACTGAAATATCGATATTTCAAAATGTTTACAAACACTCGACACATTTTTATTTACTCCTAGGTACCACAACAAAACGCATACCGTTATTTTATCTCACTACAAGATATTGTCACACAGATTTCAAAAATAACCCTATTTTTTTTTGTGAACCCATTTCAAGAAAATCGAAATAACGTAGCAATGTCACGACCGAATTTCAAAACTAAACTGTGGTCATAAAGATTAAGTGGTAAATCAGAATATGTAAATATACTGCGTGACCATTACTGAGTAAAGTAAATTTTTGTATGGACAATTCTGAATTATTGGCAGTAATGTTAGCATGTTAGCTCACATCACCGTGACTAACAGTTGTCAATTTTGAGACGAGTATGATTTGATTAAAACATCCCAGTTATTGACTTAGTGTTCTAAATTTCAATTTGATAATTAGATATGCCATTATAAAATTTTAAATTTGTTGCCAAGCCGACAAAAAAAAATCACAAACAGTAATAGTTACCCGGTATATACAGGGCATTCGACACAAAGTATTCCATTTGCAAAACTAAGTTATACGTTACGCCATAAAAAACAAAACAGTCTGTATAGTTGAAAACAATTGCATCGTATGACCCTGAAAGAACCGGCTTCAATTTTTTTTCTATTTTTAATAATTAATGAGATATCGAGGAATGCGCACTTGGTGACTCACCGTGTATATGTCGGAACTTCTTTTAAGAAGTATTCGTCAGATATATGTAGGACTTACCTTTTTTATAAATATTGTAGGTATTATTTTACACATTGCCGATGGACCATCAGGTACTCTATACAATCCCTAAGAATTGTATACATTACCTAGGCAAAGTATGTAATGGATGCCCCCGGTATTCTACACATTTCCTAGGTACCTGAAGACATGGTGGTGGTGTAGTGAAATAGCCGACTACTTTCAAAAAGAGCTTTAACAGCTGTATATTTATCCTTGACATTTAGGTGCTTGTTAAAGTCTGGTAAAAAAAACCCGGATATGTATTCAAACTGACAGTAGAAGATGGATTAAGTTATATTATACTTATAGGTATTCATGAAGTACTGATTTAATTCATTTGATTAATACTGAAGAAAAATTAAATATGTTTAAAAAAAAATTGGTTGAAAGTTATTTTGACAGAACTACCCTAGCCCCGAAAGTCGAACAAATACAACTTCGAAAAATTATTATCAACTTTAACTTTGCGATTTTTTTTTTTTTTTCATCTTTATAGTCAGGTTTTCCATACATTTTTTTTTTATAACGTGATTAACATTTTAGCAAGGGCACATATATCAGTTTAGTATATATTAATAGACTCCTTAGAGTTTTGGCACCCTTGGAATCCTCGAAATCTTTGAAATTTAGAGAAGACTGAACTTCCACAGTATTTGGAATATTTTCATAAATTTAGTAAAATGTTTAGAATTTCTAGAATTGAGTAAATTTTTGTAATTTCCAGAACTTCTAGATTTTCTAATGTTATAAAAATATCACTCTTCGGATGTGCCAGAATTCAACATTTTCCTCAGTTTTCAAGATTCCTAGGTCTTCCAGATTTTTCACACTTTCTAGATATTTCCAGATTTTCTAAAATTAATAGACCTCAAGAGTGTTTAAATATTTGAAATTTTTGGAATTTCTGGAATCTTTAGAGATATATAGATAAGAATTAGTGTGTTCAAAACCCCTAATACTTGTAGGATTTATAAAAATTAAAGGAAGCATTCTTTAGATTTTTAGGATTTAAATAACCTTTATTAATGTTTGAGTCCTTAGAGTATTTAGAATCTTTAGAGTTTTTAGAGTCCTTACAGTCTTAACAATACCTGGAAATTTCGATACTTCAGAATTACTAGAAATTTTATATTTAGAATTTTTACAGTTTCAAGGAACATTAATACTTCCAAGATCTTTACAATTTTTAAGATTTTGTTGAATGTTTCTTCTATTTAGAACCTAAAACTTTAGTTTATTTAGCATCTTTGGTGTTTTTACAAATCGCAAATTCTAGTGTATGAAAACTTTAAGATTTTTAGAATTTGTTGAGTCTTTAGAATTTTTGGGAATTTTCGTAATTTGCAAAATTTTCAAAATTTCCAGAATGGTCAGATTTTCCAGATTAGCACAATTTTTCAAATTTTCGGAAGTACAAAATGACCAAAATTTCTAAAATTATCAGGTTATACCAGAATTTTGAAATTCAACCTTTTAGAATATTTTCAAGACTTCTAGGTCTACCACACTTTTTCCACACTTTCTAAATTTTTTCTGTGTTTCTAAAATTTATTATAGATCTCAAGGGTCTAAATCTTTGGAATTTTTCGAATTTTTGGAATCTTTACAGTCTCCAATAAGATAATAAATCAGGGTGTTCAAGGCATTCAGTGCTTCTAGAATTTATAAAAATTAAAGAAAGCATTTTTCCGATTTTTACGATTTTTAAATCTTTGAGATTTTTGTTTTCTTTGTAAGTTTTAAAATCTTTGTCATTTTAAGAGTTCACGCGATTTTTACAAGTTTCGGACTCTTTGGCTTATTGGGATTTCTCTAAAACCTTTAGAATCTTTCAAGTATTCGAAACAGAATTTTGGTTTTTGACCCCTTAGAATCCTTAGACTTTTTAGAGCCTTCTAATCTACAGAAATTTTAAACACTTTGGGAATTACTAGGAGTTTTATAAAGCCTAAAATTTCTGCAATTTCTGGGATCATTAGTTCCCCAGGTTCTTTAAAATTTTTAAGATTTTGTTGGATCTTTTTTATATTTAGAACATTAGAACTTTAGTTTATTTAGAGTCTTAAGTGTCTTTACAAGTCACAATTTCTAGTGTATGTAATCCGTGAAAGCTTTTATCCTTTTTGAATCTTTCAAACCACTAGAATCTTTAGAATCTCTAGAAACTAGAATCACTTGAATTTCTATAATCTTTAGAGCTTTCAGATTTGCATTATTTTTAGATATTTCAATATCTCTAGAATTTTAAATATTTTCATCTTTCCAAATTATTAAATATTTAAAATCAGAAATGTTTGGAATTTTTTAAATCCTTGGAATCCTTTTAGAATTTTTAAATCGTTGGCTTCTCTAGCTTTTTTAAATTTTTTGAAATTCCTGAAATCTTTGTACTTCTTAGAGTTTTTGGCATCCTTGAAAGCATTAAAACCTTTGAAAGGGTTACAATATTTGGGACTTTCACAACATTTGGAATCTTTCCACAAAATCGGTCAGAAGTTTAGAATTTCTATAATTTCTAGAATTAACATCGTGAACATTTTACATTTATTCAGCAAAATTGTAAGATGGCGTCATCGATTTTTATCAGACAAATTTTGGTTAGACTTTTACCATCTACACGATATTCCTAATTAATAAGTATATACAAAATAATACAAAAATTGACACAAACGACGGAAACAAGGGACCTATGTTTTCGTGTGCTAGGGGTCGTGAAACGTCAACGGGAAAGCCGTTCCCGATTTAATCAATAAAATAAATTGACTCATTCATTAATTTTTATGAGCAACCCTATATGTATAAGAAATTTAAAAACTTCTAATGCAATGATAAATCGCAAGTATAGACTCATCATATTTTGCACAATTGGGATAATAATTATTCTGTAAAACTTTGAGATGACGTCATCAATTTTTTGGAAGAGGCTAAACGAATAAATTTTGCTTAACGATTTACCATTATTACGATAAACTTAAATTATTTACAAGATTTACCATTATTACGATAAACTTAAATTATTTACAAGATTTCAGCGCAATCGGTTTCGTAGTTTCAAAGTTATATTGCAAAATATTGTTATTCAATTTTTTCCAAAAATTCTGGATGTCTAGGGTGAAAATTCGACACAGATTCACACACAAGTGCAGGCGTATCTTATTTTGCGAAATTAAAAAAAATATATTATAAATTTTGAAGTTGACGTCATCCCATTGGTGGTGGGGATGATTAACCAAATTTTAGTTAGCATTTAACCATCTAGATGATATTCCTAATATACTCGTACATACAAAATATGAGAACTATCGGTGCAGTAATTTCGGAGATTACTTGTCTAATAGAAATGGATACAGATACCAGACAGACAGACAGACAGACAGACGGAAATGGGAGACCACTTTTTTCGTACTCTAGTGGTCATGACACGTCGAGAAAATATGAAAGTGGCAATTCGGCCGATGGACTCGATTACTATACCAACTGTACTTCCTTACCTTACGCTCGGGAAGTAATACAAAAAATGCTCTTTGGTTTTGGAGCCAAAAAATAAAAATGAATAAAACTTTAACAAAAATAAAATTCGTAAAATTATTGCAACATTATTAAAAATTTAGTCCGTGTCATCAGTTTTTGCAGTTTTTCGGCTTATTCAGTCCTGATACTTAATAAATCAGTGTCCACTTACAAAAATATTTCTTCCGTTTCTGAATCACTTGCAAATACCTCTGCACCAGTTTCACTTTGATTACTTCAGTACTATTAATCAGTTTTAGCACTTTTAAATGAAAGTTCATTGCAACAACTTTTGCGGTTCTTTTTATTAAACTTTATTCTGTTCCGTTTGCCAAATTCCATTTCCATTGGCGCTAAATTTGAAATAAAAAAGGCTATATTTTATTTATAAATAGGCGACATTTACTCTGGCATTTTTTGGCCTTGCACTTAGCAACAGCACTATGTATAACGGACTTTTGTGAATTTTAAATAAAATACGGACCGTAGTGTACAACAGCAGATTGTCTGAAATTTATTGATTGATCCCCCTGAGAACGGTGATGACGTCATTTAAAAAATTATTGGGGTATGTTATCAGTAGCGTCATTTTGCAGAATCTACTAAATTACAAATACTGATTTATAGATGTCTAGCTAAAAGTTACTCCAACAAAATACCATTTAATTTTTTGGTTATTGAATCAATTGTTGGAACATTTTATTCAAATTAATTTTTTCAGGTTTTCCTTCTTTTTGTCTCCGTTCTAATTGTTGCGGCCACTGCGTTTCCAACTTTTGATCAGCTGGCCCATCCATCTTCAGAGAGGTTTCGTAGAGCGTAAGTGTAATTTAACATACTCTCCTTTACTTTTTCCAATGTCATCTTACAGAGTTCCACAGCCAAAACCGGACCTTGAAGGATCTGAGAGTGTTTACGTGGCCTACCCCTATTACTATCCATATTACTGGGGCCACATTATTGGAAAGTAAAAAAACCATGACATCACATTAAAAGGCTACTGCATGCAATACTTGGCAAATTGTTTTAATAAATTAAATTTTATAAAATGTATCCTAGCATTTAATACAGTATTTAATACTTAGTGTCTTGCTGGTGCTACACTTGCTAAATAAAGGGTACTAAAATTCACCAATTTATTTGATTGACGAATGGATGAATCCTGTTGTAAATTGTCAAACCAACGTGATACATGTACAAATCTTTCTTTGTCCAAAATGGCCAAATTTTCCTTAAACATAATCAATTGGCGTTTATGTGAGAATAATGAGAGACATTATTACCATTGTTGGTTGCAAAATATAGTACAAAAACAAATCTGCTGCTGTTAATCTATGGGAAACTAAGTAAGTCCTTGTGGCCAAAACTGCATTTAATTCCTGAAATTATCATCCCCTATTATTTTATTCGCCCTAAAAGAAAAAGGTGTTAACTTACCCTTAAGACTTGGTGAGACAACTCTGAATGAGCTGCATAAAGAATGGCATATTCAATCCACTGTCTAACTTCTGCCTTTTCCAGATCAGTGCAACCTTCTAAATTTGAATTGGCTTGTTTTATCAGATCAATAACTATATTTATGTACCCAAACGTGCTGTTCTTGTTAACAACACGTGTTGGAAGCTAAAAAATAAAATTCGTGAATAATAAACTCTGTTTGATACTTCGAGTTTCCTACAGTATTTTCACTAAAAGTAATTTTGCCGGCTTGCAGCTTCAAAAAAGAAGCAAGTTGATTTAAGGGCTTGACAGCATTCACAACCATTTTTCAGTTTAAAGTACCAGATACATAACCTTATTCACATTGTTTGTGACGTGGTCGTGGTTGTCAAAGTGACAGCAATGTGACAACTGACAATTTTAAAAATTTAATTTCATTTCAAATGTAAATTAATTTCCTATTATTGTTAATTAAATTACGGTATAATTAATTAATAAAAACAATGTTACAAATTCTTTATTAAAACTTATTAAGCATTGCTCAACTCTAATTTTCCTAAATTCTTAGTAATAACAACTTCAGGCAAAGTTTCTGTGATAATTCCTGTTGCAACTGTAATTTTATTTTCCCTAATAGTAAAACACTGACCAGGTGTCATAACCATTTTACACAGAAGAGTTAAATAAACTTTTCCATGTTCTCCAGGCATTATCAATTCCACACCAGCATCTGGAACATTAAAGTTTAAATTATTTTCATAAATAATACACAAATCATCACACCTAAATCAACGCGACACGCTATACTCCACGTTTTACTGAATAACTGTTGGATGTATTTTCCTGTAATGGGCTTTGATCTGCCCCCTTCACTTTTTGATAAAAAGTACACACTTGCTGTGAATCTATTTGATAACTTTACACTATTCATTTCACACAAAAGCATCCCCCTTTCAATGTCCTTGACTTTAATATTTCTGAGTAATATACCAACATTTTCCCCTGCTTTAGCCTGCAATTTTTTAAATAAATTAAAATCAAAATCTATGTTGTAACCCTTACCTCTGGCACACTTTTTTTGAACACTTGTAAATCTCCAATGGAAGTTTTAATTTTTGTATCAAAACCTACCAACTCAGAGACTGCGTTTTTCTTAACAATACCTCTGAAAATGGTTCCAACAACGACAGTACCTCTACCAGGTACCAAAAACATGTTATCAATAGGTACCATAAATGGTGACATAAAGTCTCTCTCAGGAACTGGAATATATTCATCAAGCACATCTAAAAGTTTCCTGATAGATTTTTCCCCAATTTCTGTGTCTTCACCATTTAAAGCTTTCAAAGCAGACCCACAAACAAACGGTGATTTTTCACTGTCAAATCCAAATTCATCCAACAATTCTCTTACTTCAATTTCCACCAATTCTAATACCTACAACAATTGGTACGAGTTCTGGTAAATAATCACACCAGCACACTTGCCTCCTTGTCCACTAAGTCTGCCTTGTTTACATAAACAACAATTTTTTGCACCCCCACTTGCTTAGCTAACAAAAGATGTTCTCTAGTTTGAGGCATTTGGCCATCAGTGGCTGCTACCACTAATATTGCACCATCCATCTGGGAAGCCCCTGAGATCATATTTTTAATGAAATCGGCATGGCCAGGACAGTCTGTATGTGCATAGTGCCTCTTTTTGGTTGTATAACCAACATGAGCAGCATTGATGGTAATTCCACGAGCTTTCTCTTCCGGAGCTTTATCAATTTCATCATATGATACAAACTTTGCAAGACCATCTTTTTGCAGGACTTTGGTAATAGCAGCTGTTAGTGTCGTTTTTCCGTGGTCTACATGCCCTATAGTACCTACATTTATATGAGTTTTTTCTGAATTCTCAGTTGAAAAATTCCTTGAATTTAGCGCCGAGAGTGACAATTTGAGGTTAGGTTTAACTCTATCACATAACCCACATTGAAAAATTGATCCCTTTGACAACAGTTCACTATTTACAATTTTTAGAGGGAATCTGTGTCTGGAAAACAACTGGAGAGTTTCCAGTATTTTTAATCTCGACATTATTTTTTTTTAATTATTTTCATTGACAGATCCCAGGAAGTGATTATGGCGCACTCTACCTGTCACGTTTTATTTCCGTCATGTCAATTACAACAAGTCTTTATATCAAACGTCATAAGAACTAAAATCGTAAATCTCGAAATTAGTTCACGTTTTGGCCACTTATTGCTCTGTCGGCACCAGCTGCTCAGACAAGGTTAGTAGTGTGAAAAGAAAATCTAATTTTTAGTAAAAATATGTGAAATTTTATGACTCCAACAAGTTTTCTGGCGTTTCCAACATTATACTTTTGACTCTGATTGAATTTTGGGTGAACGCAGCAAATTTGGCGTATTTTTTCACACCCCGGTTACACGACATTGCTTACATAATCCATGGGTCAAATGCATTCTTTTTTCAGATTGCAATCATGCTGGGTCGTTTCGGGAGTCTGGTACCTGTGGTGGCCCAGAATGTTCAAATCCAACAGCAACAGAGGGGCATGGCCACCCTAAAGTCCATTTCGATTCGTCTCAAATCGGTCAAAAACATCCAGAAAATCACCCAATCAATGAAGATGGTGTCAGCTGCGAAATACTCAAGAGCTGAACGTGAACTCAAACAAGCCAGACCAATCGGAAGTGGTGCCAGTCAATTCTATGAAAAAGCTGAAATTGCTGCCCCTGCAGAACTTCCCGCGAAACTGCTCATTGCCATTACTTCAGACAGAGGTAATAAAATTAATTTGTGGAATTATTTTTATTACGGTGGCAATTATAGGTTTGTGTGGGGCTGTACATACTAGTGTGGCCCGTTTGATCCGCAATGAACTCAACAATGACCAACAAAATTTGAAAGTAGTCTGCGTTGGAGATAAATCAAGGATGATTTTACAACGTCTGTATGGTAAAAGTATCATTATGGCCTGCAACGAAATCGGGCGTCTGCCGCCTACTTTTAATGATGCTTCGAGATTGGCCGATGCTATTTTGAAATCTGAGTATGATTTTGGTTCTGGAGAGATTGTGTACAACCGTTTCAAGTCTGTGGTGTCTTATTCTACCTCAACTCTGCCAGTATTTAGTTTGGCTGCTGTCAAGGTAATTAAATTGTGCTTTGTTTCTTATTCCTTTCGGTTTGTTTCAGACTGCTGCAAAACTGCCCGTTTATGATTCTTTAGATGATGAAGTGATTCAATCGTATTTGGAATTTTCGTTGGCGTCTTTACTTTTCTATGCAATGAAAGAAGGAGCTTGCAGTGAACAGTCATCTCGTATGACTGCTATGGACAACGCCAGCAAGAATGCCGGAGAGATGATTGATAAACTCACTCTAACATTCAATCGTACCAGACAAGCTGTAATCACCAGAGAATTGATTGAAATTATTTCTGGTGCTTCAGCCCTTTAAGATCCTTGTAATACCAGATCCTTTAGGTTTAGGTAAGTAAGTGGGATCTTTTAACTTAATAGTAATAGCGCTGTATGTGAGGGTTAAACAGAAAGAAAATGTAAGCCCAAAGTCACTGGATAACATCAATCCCATTTAATTTCAGTTTTGCTTTTACATACTATAATTGTTACAAAAATAAAGATCCAATAATTTTATTGTCTTATAAATGAGGTTACAGCAACATCTAATAAAATTTGTAAAGACCCAAAAATAATTTTCTTTGAAGCACATTATATCCACCATGATTCATAGCTACCCAGCCAAGCAGTGAGGTCAGCCCAATCAGGAAATTCGTTCAAAAATTGCACATAATGAGGCATTTTGCGATTCTTATCTTCATGCGGAAAAATCCCTGAAACTGCGATTTCAGTTGTCACTCCACTTACATTCTTTGGCACTTGAACATCGAAACTAAATTTGAGAGGAGCAGCCTCTTTGCCCCATATGTTTATGATAAAATATAAATCACGGTTATTCCATACTGCCGATTCCTCTGGCATCTTCTCAAGCAGACTTATATTCAACACTTTTACTCCAAACTTTGGAGAAAAATACAACCCCATACGATCTGGACCAGTTATCGAGATAGTATAGCGTAGAATGTTGGGTCCAATTTGTGCTTTTGATAACACCTCTAGTTTCGTTGGTTCAGGAAGGAGTGGCTGTCCTGCAGGAATCCAAGTGCTAAATTCGCTAAAAACGACCACAAATATGAAGTTTCTTGAATCCGTCACAACTTACATAATTTGTATCATTTTTGAGTGTACTAGTGGTAAACCACACAGTAAATATTTGCCACAGTCGTCGCCAAGGTATCGAGCTTTGGAAAAATCTTTGACGATATTCTTGACTTTATGGGGTGAATTACGGTCCATATTGAGTAAAAAATAGCCAGAATCTCGCTTCGTTTCGACGCCTTGTTCGTCGTGGACTACTCGTCGAGTATGCTATGAAATGACCATAGAATTACACGTATTTATATATTTTTTTTACTTACCAAAATCCAGTGTCTTTCAGGAGCAGGAGACTCGGGGTTACCCGTATAAGGGAAACCTAAAGGAGTAAAAATGAGGATAAAACTGAGAGTAAATACGACTACCAAAAACGATAAGAGATGTTTCACATGTCTAACTAGAGTTGCCAGAGCTACCTATTAAAAAACCATAGTATATTGTGTCCTATTTCCAAAAAAATACTCACAAATGGTGACGTAATTATAATTGTGAATAATAAACTCATGGCTCCTATTATGAGATCAGCATTTTTATCTGGTCCTATTCTTCCAGTGATGGGAATGAACAAAGACAACGTTGTCAGGGTAGTGTACATTAAAAATATTGTTGGAACTACTAAACTGACCACATAGACAACTTGCCACTTTCGAACTGGAAGGCCTTGATTGTTTACATTTTTCCTTTTAGTTAGATTTATTACCTGTGTGTTGTAATTTAAATATGTAAATGAACGCGAAGCCCAATGTGTTGAACAGCACTGGGATGAGTAAGGCATACATAGCTCTGATGCCTGAAGTGGTCCCAAATAGAAGTATCACAGTCCAAATGATTCTGACAGAGTGCGCTTGGATTTGCGCTTTCACGTTGTGGCTTAAATTCTAAAAAAGTTAACATTTTAATTACAGCTTTTCAAATGTTTTTTGTATTCTTTACTTCCTAAGCGTAAGCTAATTTTTTTCGGACGAATGGCCACTTTTATGTTTTCTCGACGTTTCATACCCCAAGAGTAAGAAAAAATGTGTCCCGTTTTCGATTGTCTGGCGTCTGTGTCGATTTTTATTAGGCATGTAATCTGCGAAACTACTGAACCGATTGTTGTCAAATTTAAACCCTAACCAAAATTTGGTTAATTATCCCCACTAACAATTTGATGACGTCATTGCAAAGACTATAATGACATTTTACCACGAACTCGGGAGATGACCGACCGTGGCCATGCGGTTAAGACGTCAGTCAGGATGCGGCCCGGCGGTCGCACGTTCGGTGTCAAACTTGAACGTGTATTTTTTCTCTGTTTCTCTCGCGCTGTGTATTATCTATGTTTATGATGTCATAGCAAATTTTGTATTCATCAAATTAAAAATGAATCAGCCCATTTTCTCGAAAAGAAAAAAATAATATTCAGAACATTCTGTTCAACTGTGGCTTAATAATAGTAGTCCTCTTTTTGAGGTGACAAACTCAAATCAATCAATCAAACATTTCTACGTGACATTCTTCCGATGTATAAACAAATACTTGAAGTTAAAGCTTGTTATTATTGCTGAGAGGCCATTTTTCCGTTGGATGTCTGCTTTAAATATACACTGCCAGACAAAAAAAACCGGACACTTGAATATTTGTAACTTTACACTAATTATTATTATTGTTGCTAACCATCCCCGCAGTGAAACCAATTATCAGGGTGCTACGAAATTTAAAATTTAAAAACGCAAGTTTTTTATTTGTCTAAGAGTGGAATTGAAAAGGTCGAACTGATCTTTGTGCAAATTGTATCCTTTGGTTTTTTTTTCGTAATACCTATACTAGTCTTCTTTCAACAGTAAAATACTTAAAACATCAAAGAGCCAATTTGAGATTAGAATTATATTTTAAGTATCGTGTTAAAAAAAAAAACAACTAAATACATTAAGAAAAACATGTCAATGATTAAGCCCCACCCACCCACCCTCTCTGAATTCTGATGAATTTTTCATTTGTTGTCAGATTGAGGGGCGGAGCTTAACTGCAAAATCCATATTTCTCTGCATAATAATAAAGATATTTCAATTTTGCACGTCCTCATTTTTTTTAACATAATTTCTTGCAGAAAAATATGAACACTGCATATTTAAGCTCCGCCCTCCGTCTCACAACGAATAAAAAAATTAATCACAATTGAGATGGGGCGGGTGGGTGGGGCTTATCCTTTGATTTGTTTTTCGTAATATACTAGTCTTCTTTCAACAGTAAAATACTTAAAATAGCAAAGAGTGAATTTGAGATTAGAATTATATTTTAAGTATCGTGTTAAAAAAAAACTAAATACATTAAGGAAAACATGTCAATGATTAAGCCCCACCCACCCATCCTATCTCAATTCTGATGAATTTTTCATTTGTTGTCAGATTGAAGGGCGGAGCTTAACTGCAAAATCCATATTTCTCTGCATAATAATAAAGATATTTCAATTTTGCACTTCCTAATTTTTTTAAACGTATGCTAATTTCTTGTAGAAAAATATGAACACTGCATTTAAGCTCCGCCCTCCTTCTCACAACGAATAAAAAAAAAATCACAAATGAGATGGGGTGGGTGGGTGGGGCATATCCTTTGATTTGTTGTTCGTAATATACTGGTCTTCTTTCAACAGTAAAATACTTAAAATATTAAAGAGTCAATTTGAGATTAGAATTATGTTTTAAGTATAGTGTTTAAAAAAAAACTAAATATATTAAGAAAAACATGTCAATGATTAAGCCCCACCCACCCACCCTATCTCAATTCTGAGGAATTTTTATTTGATGTCAGATTGAGGGGCAGAGCTTAACTGCACAATCCATATTTCTCTACATAAAGACATTTCAATTTTGCGCTTCCTCTTTTTTTTTAAACATATTTCATATGGTAATTTCTTGTAAAAAAATATGAACTCTGCATTTAAGCTCCGCCCTCCGTCTTACAACGAATAAGAAAATTAATCACAATTGAGATGAGGCGGGTGGGTGGGGCATATCCTTTGATTTGTTGTTCGTAATATATTGGTCTTCTTTCAACAGTAAAATACTTAAAACATCAAAGAGTGAATTTGAGATTAGAATTAAGTTTTAAATATCGTGTTTTTGAAAAAAAAAAACAACTATATACATTAAGAAAACAATGTCAATGATTAAGCCCACCCACCCACCCTATCTCAATTCTGATGAATTTTTCATTATTGTCGTCAGATTGAGGGGCGGAGCTCAACTCCAAAATCCATATTTCTCTACAAAATAGTAAAGATATTTCAATTTTGCACTTCCTCACTTTTTCAATTTGTAGACATATATATATTTTAATTTTTCTTTATTTCAATTAATCGAGATTTCAATTTTTAATTTGGCTTTTAAATTTTTCAAGTTCTGGTTTTTTAATGTTTCATTTACCCAGATTCCAATTTTTAATTTAATTCAAAAAGAACAAATATACTAAAACTGAAATTTTGACGATTTTACATTTTTTGGATTTTTCAATTTTTATATTTAAATTTTTCTATTTTATAGTTACTTAGATTTTTAACTTTTTCGATTTAGAATTATTCAGTTTTACAGTTTACATAGTTATTATTGGCGGGGACATGTGTACATTAGTTCGCGATACTTCCAACATAAAAACTTCGAGGGTTACGCGATCCAAATCGAGGTACCAGATAATACAATTTTCCAGTAAAATATTGTATCGATTACACCGTTGACAAGCTTATGAAGAAAACATAATGAAATGTTTAGCCTTCGAGATTCTAGGTTTTGTATGGAGAAGATTTTCAAAAGATCATTTTGGGGAAAATCTCTTCCTGGATAACAGCAAATACAAAAAGTTCAAAAATCTTCTCTGAACTTTCTCTAGTTGCACACAGTGATTGTTGTAACCAGGAGACCACACAACGGAGCCATATTCTAATTAAAAATGTTGTGTGTTCAACAAAGTTTTTACAACTTCTAATAACATTTTTTTTCTGTTTCCACATGTTTTACAACAAAGTTGTGTTTTTTGTTAATGAATACATTAATGCTTCGCTTTTTGGAATATTTTTTACAAAAGCTCGACTAGTCGCAGGTAATCACAAAAAATTTAAGTGTCCGGGTTTCTTTGTCTAGCAGTGTATTTTATATTGTCCGTACTTGTCGAGGAGGGTAGAATAAGAACGGAGGGATAGTACGGTCGAAAAATGTGGCACCGATCGTCCGAAATCTAGACACCGTTTATGACGGTGTTTGGAATACGCGCTCGACTAAACCACGCCCCCAGTTTCGAGAGAATCGCTAAACAGTGGCGGGCAAAGTTACTCAAGTTATACATTTATTACTTACTTATGGAAACTAAGTCTGTCTTTCACAGATTGTTTACTTCCATTCCACGACTTACAAAGTTTGCAGTTCACCATGTTGAATTTATTAAAAACAAAACGGCTTAAAGTATAAAGATATACAGCACGTGATGGTACAAAATAACTGAGATGTACGCCCATGGAGTACGATGGGCTTTTCTCGAGGTTTGTAGCAAGCTCGCACATGCGCACAGTCGACAGACCGATCGTAAACGGTGTTGGCGGTAGATGATTTTGGGCCAAAACCGTACCATTGAAAGCATAGGACATGCTCCCTCCGTTCTTATTCCACCCTCCTCGGTACTTGTGCAATTTACACAATCCCGTGCAATTTGCTCCTCCTCCCACGGCGCAGGGGTAATTTATGCCGCTGGTTTTTACTTTATACAGCTTATCACAAAACAAACATCGCAAAATCTAATTTTATAATTTTTCAAAGAAGCGATATTTGCTGGACTTGTACTTCAGGAGCGAGGGAAGTTCTGTCGAAATAAACTTCGACTATTTTTTTTTATTCTACTATGTACTTATAATGTTCAAGGCTAATAATGAACACAATTGCAAACAAGTGACTCATTTATGGTTCACAAGAAAATTTACATAGTTTTTTGAAGGTAAAAAACTACAGAAAATTACGTTCAAAATTATTTTTTATGTATTTATTTTTTGGAGTCATTTGACATGTTTTTCTGAAGCTTATTGAAAATTTTTGCGCTTTATACGTAAAGATGATTGTTGAAAGTTATTTAGACTATAAAGTTCCCTCGTTCCTGATTGAAATATAATCCGTGCTAGCAACGCTGTAGCACTGATTACAGTATTGTATATCCAGAATTTCGAAAAAAAAAAATAAACCGTTTTTGCTTTAATCAAAATAAATTACTTCATTCACTCATTCTTTTAGGGCATCCTCCTGTACAAACGGTTCTAAAAAGATAGAAATACACATTATCAAACCACAAATAAAGAATTATCTCACATTATAAATTTCATGCGAGATTTATTTAATAAAATTTGGAAATCACATTCCTGATACCCTTAAAGCGAGTGTAAAATGTCAGAGCAATCGATTTCGCAGTTCGTAAGTTACGTTGTGAAATTTCTGACAAAAACTTACATTCATACGTTTAAACTGAAACGGATAAAACAGGTACAGGAGCATATTATTTTGCAAAATTTTATGTAGGATCTGCTTAGCAAAATTTTGTGCTGATGTCATCAAATATCTTGTGGGAATGATCAGACAAATCTTTATGTGCTACGTAACTTGAGATTAATTATTATTTATGGATCAGAAAACGGACATAGAAGGCACACTTAACCGATATATTTCATGACAGTCCTTTGATATAAATATTAACTGTAACAGCCCTATTATAACATCAGTGTGTTCTAAAAATTTCGTAGAAATTGTTTCAAGAAAATTAAAATACAAGTTTGATCAAAACCACATTTGAAAATATATTTTTTAATAATTTTTTGACATGACATCATTGGTTTCCTGGAAGGGTTGAATAAATAAAGTTTTGTTAATGTTCTGTAGTCAACATATCATTGTTCAAATTAAAATTCATTATTCATAATTTTATTCTCGTCCATTTTTACTTTATACTATTTTTTTGTATTTCGGGACTTTTGACTTTACTAAGTTTAGTGTAAAAAAATATTGTTAGGTTTAATTAGGTTGGTATCATTTCTCACATGTCATCGTTTTTTAAGTTAAGACGCAAATGGTAGTTATAATTGAGTAAGTCATATAATATAATTTAAATATAATTTAATGTAATCTCACAACTTGTAGACGTCTTGAAAAAGCGGTAAAATAAACTGCGAAACTGTCGACGTAGAAGACATCTCTTCTTCTTAATTGTTATGTCCACGAGTCCCGAAATACAAAAAAAAAAAATAGTATAAAATTCATTATGTAATTTCTTGGATAAATAATAAAATATGACCCTCCAAACTATATTTCTGTTAAAATAACTCGTATGTTAAAACAAAAATTGGGCTAAATGCATTAACTTTGAAACATTAATAAAAATACTGTGTTCCTAAAACTTTTAAAATTTAGATGTTTTTGATTTAATTAATAGAATAAATTATTGTTTCGTATTTTTAATGCACATTTAACAATTTTTTTGAGATAAGTAAATAAATTTCAACGTGTAAGGGTAAAACACTCACTGAATTAATGTTATGTTCTTACCGAAATTAAAAAAAAAAACGTTCATGTGGCCATTCTTAAAAACACGTTCCCCAACACTAAGTACATGCACAAATATGGACTGCATATTGCTTACTGTAAGTTATAAATTTCAAGTTGGGTTTTAATTACCGACATTTATATTAAAATCGGCCAATGGCAGTCTCAAGAAATATGAAATATGTCATGCTCGCCATCAAACTCATATGGTTGCAGGTTGTACAGTGGAAATACTATGAGAAGAACATGTTGAGTCACCACAATCTGTCACTTTAGCATTGAGCGGTGGCGTATCATTTGTGTTTTGAAATGGGGTACTATAAAAATTATATTTTCATAATTTGAATAAAGTACCAAAAACACTCATAAACCACGAAAAGACGAAAGTCGCTGTCAATCGTTACGTTTAATGCGTCGTTTTATGGATACATTCCTCTCATAGCATTTCAACTCTACCAAGTAAATCACCTTACCGGATGTTTTATATAAAGCAACACAATGGAAGAAAATCCAATCGTCGGAGCCACGTACAGTCCAAATATAAGACCAGGATTTGCATACCAACTCATAGAATAACCAATTTTATCAATTATAACTGCCGTTATCACAACAAAAATTGCAGCTGCGATCCATCCACCAATTAAAGCCGCAAAAGTAAATGTCAAATACTTCAGAGTTTGCTTCGTATAACCTGAAACGTACGATTACATTTCAAAGTAATTATAATGAAACAGACACATTACCTAGCTTAAAACTATGAATATTCAATGCAAAAATCACAAATGAGAAAAGAACAACAGTCAGATTAATAAGATAAGCCACTGTTTCTGAATAGGATACCATAAAAAACCCTAAACAGTCAAAATAAACAACTTTTCCAGGATTCGCTTTAGGTTTAGCGACTTCAGGTGCATTTCCCAAACTTCTTACCAACGACAACGTATTATCACCAACGTGTTGGAAAGATCCAAGTGGAATATGCTCAAAGTCATCATATTTTGTATGATAACGATATCCATTTTTGAAAAACGCCATATCAAGACCTGCAATTTTATATCAAAAAGCCATTACAACGTGTTGTTACACATACCAACTAAACCTCCATAATCTCTAAATATTCTAAAATCAGTATCAGATGGTATAAGATTGCTCTGAAAAATCTCTTCTCCAGCAGCCTGTCCATATGGGTGTGGCACTTCAGCATAATATTTCATTAACCAGGGAGCTGAAGGCCCTGATTGAAATAAAATAATTTTTCCCCCAACCCCCGCAGCTTCCAAATTCAGTACAACTTTACATTCCCTAGCCCATTTATGTTGAGTAATAAACCCGTGTGCAGCCTGTAACCCGGTTTCTTCTGCTCCATTAAACAAAAACACCAAATTATTTAAAGGTCTCTGAGGTTCCCGTGATATTTTTCTTAAAATTTCCAACATCACCACGACGTTAATGCCATCATCGCTACCCCCAGGACTAGTTGGTACTGAATCAAAGTGAGAATTAATTAGCACACTTTGTGAAGCATTGTTTGCTCCATGCAGTTTCACTACAACATTTTGTAAATTTGAATAAGATACAATCTTTCCATGTGGGGAGTAACGTATGTAATGTGATCCTGTTGCAACTTGAAAGTCAAGCTCAATTTTTTGCTTTTTATTAGCACGTTGCATTATGAAATTTATTTCACGTTTTAAGAAGTCTACAGTGAGGACTTCATTTTGATAACCACCAGCTATACGTGGCCCTATTCCAGTTAGCAGTTTTAAGTCATGTCGAGCTCTCTCAGTAATAAAAGCGTCTGGATGGGTTTGCTATATGGTATTGACATAATTAAACGGGATTTATATAGTTGGAGATTTGCTTGCTTACCTCATCCGTGAGCTTCAATGGCTTAGGCAGGCTGTTATCAATGGTGTACACTAGTCCATATAGACCGAGTAATACTGCAATAAGCCCAAAAGATACAAGAACAGGAACACTGTGGATGCTTTTTCGAGTGGTTGTTTTGGTGCCACTTAAGGCAACGGTTTCATCGTCATCGTCCATCACGAAATCGACTCGTCGGCGCATTATTCCAGCTATGTAATGGACACTACACAGAGAAATTGGGTGACATCTGTTTTAATAATTACATTTGATGAAGTTTTTTGAAGACACACAACACAATGCTTACAAAACATGTAAAACTTCTTTTGGTGAATTATAAAAGTACTGTTTCGCTATAAATAACCTTATCTGCTTCAGTAGGAATACTCGTGTTTATTGTAAAATGTTATCGCACCGGTAAAGTGTTTGTGTACTGACTTTGCTGAAGTATTACGATAATTTTAACAAGGATGAGAATTTTAGGTCAATGTGTTTAAATTAATTGTAGTTACGCAAAAATTGCATTAAAAGTTCTAATAAATACATTAGTGCGGGAGTTTAACTCATCTACTTACCTAACCGGTTGATCTGAATTCTATTACTTTTATTTCAAATAAAAGCATAATGACTTTGACATTGAAAGTTAAAACAATAAGATCGCTGTTAAAAGGAGCAATAAATGTTAAAATCGAAAATAGTCCATCAATTACATTTGTAAACAAAACAAATACAAAATTAGGTTATGTAGATTTGACATCAATGCTCGATCACTCGGCAGTCTCAGCTCAAGGCCTCGAGTGATTTCGGAAAATTGATCGTCCTACTTGACGGGCGCGAAATTTGAATTGTTTACTTGATTTTACCTCCCGAGCGTAAGCTAAGGATGTATTGTATCTAATATAATAACGTTCATCTGATGAATGGCTAATCTCATGTTTTCTCGACGATTTATGACCCCCAGAGTACGAAAAACTAGGTCTCTCGTTTCCGTCTGTCTGTCTGTCTGTGTCAATTACCGAAACTACTAGACCGATTGTTGTCAAATTTTATATGTATGTTAAGAATATCATGTAGTTGGTAACCAAACACGCTAATCAAAATTTGTCTGACCATCCCCATCAACAATGGGATGACGTCATCTCCAAAATTGAAAACGGTCATTATGACAACAGTAAATTAATCTTATTTAAATTTTATAAAATAAGATATTCCTGCACTTGTGGTTTATGAATCCGTGTTGAGTTTTTATCCTAGGCATCAAGGCTTTCGGGAAAAGATCTGAAATGTATAAAAACATTTTACGATTTAAACTTATTTGAAATTACAAAGCCAAATTCTCATAATCAAGGCGCGGAATCAGTGGCGGCGTAAAGGGGCGGAGGAGGGGGGGGCGAGGGCGATCCGCTTCGAGTACTAAGCACAACGACAACTCACGCGCACTGCTAGAGATACGGGAAACGGAAGACCTAGGTATTTCTTCATACTCTAGGGGTCATGAAAGGTCGAGAAAATGTAAAAGTAGAGAGTCGGTCGCTTACGCTTGGGAAGAAAAATAATGTCTTGACAGATTTTACCAAGAACTAGACCATCGTTACAGAGTAATGAATAATATACATAGTATTCTTTGACAACACGATACTCAAAAACAAGGATTTTGCGATTAAGCTCCTCCCCTTGGCTCACGACGAATAAAAAAATCATCACAATTGAAACAGGGCGGGTGGGCGGGGCTACATTTTGCCTTTTTTTCTTAATATGTGTAGTCATCTTTTCACAACTAGAAACTTAAAACATGTTTAAAATGGTAAATTTGTATATGGAAACATCGATTTTGCAATTACGAATGAAAAATTCATCACAGTTGAGGGGTTTTGGTTTTCTTTGTATAACATGGTTACTTAAGAACATATTTCACCTGGTAATGTCTCGCAGAAAAATAAGGATTTTACAATTAAACTCCTCCCTTCGGCTTACGACTAATAAAAAAAATCATCAGAATTGAGATAGTACGGGTGGGTGGGGCTTACATTTTGCCTTTTTTTCTTAATATACATAGCCATCTTTTCATATCAAGAAACTTAAAACATGGTTAAAATGGTTTTTGCAAGGAAATATAGATTTGCAATTATGGGGCGGAGCCTAATTGTAAAAGCAATATTTTCTTATACACCTTTTCCATTTTAAACATGTTTTAAGTTTCATGTTGTGACAAGAAGTCTACACATATTAAAACAAAAAGGGAAAATGTAAGCCCGCCGACCCGCCCTATCTCAACTGTGATGTTTTTTTTATTCGCCGTGAACCAAGGGGACGGAGCTGAACTGCAAAATACTTATTTCTTTACAATAAATTAAAAATACGTTTTTACTTTGTGGTGACCGAATTTAAATCAAAGTTTTCGCGCTGAAATTAATTGACAGCGGCGCGAAATCGCATTTGAATAATTTGAATTTGAAAAAAAAAGTTCAATCACGAAAAGGAACTCCTTAAACATAGGCAACCAAATATGCATGGATGGTCTAATGCACGTAGCGCTTAGGAGTTAGTTGCATGATCTTTGGGTTAGATGGCAGCACGTAGCGCTAGGGTAATTTCAGTTAGAGGGTTGGTAGAAAGGCGGCATGGCGGTAGAGTGTGTCATTCTGGTGTGTTTCGTGTAAGTGTAACCACGTGGTAAGAGCTAGGTTTAAATTAGTTGGTTTGGTAGTTAATAAAACGGGAGGAAGCCTTTGTTTAACGACGATCAAACGTATTTTTCATACTGATACAGTTGTCCCCAACCCGCGCGGTAAATTCTTGCGCCCTTTTAATCGAAAATTGCAGACTTCCGGTCGGACGCGAACACGTGTTGTGAATCTGTTTCTTTGTTTGTAAATTCACCAATCAAGCTAGTTTTTCTTAATACTCAGCTAGAGCAAACACAATTTAACAATCAGGATTATTTAAATTAACCATTTGCTAGAAGATTTCATGAAATTCACTTAGTCAGGAAAAACACCTTATGTTTAATTACGAATAGGTCTCTGGATGCATATACGTAAGTGTTACATTATAACACTTCTAAATTCTTCACACAAGATTGCTAATAGTTCATTTACGGCAGTTAAACAAGTTCATTATACTGCGGACTGGCGGGGGGTTATGATATTTTCTCCCCTTAGGTGGTTATCATCGTTATCACGATTAATTCATCGGGGCATGTTTCGCAACGCCAGATTGATTAATTAATTAAGGCATGCCCCCAACGCTACAGAAAATTCACGTTACCGAGACGCTTTTTCCTCGCAACGATTTTGGATTTTTACATCACCGAGACGCTTTTTCCCTCGGAGCGATGATTGGATATTTTTGTGTTTGTTTATTATGTGTTTTGTTGGGGTAACCAGTTCGTAGTATTTTAACTTCTCAAAGTAAATTATTTTTGAAGTAACCAATCATTTAGATCATGATATAATTTGGCATAATGTAAACTCTTTGTTTGAACCGTTGATAAAGTGTGGCAAAAATTAATCTCATGTAAATTTTGTTAACTCTGCAAATTTTCACATCATACAATATTTCTTTAATCTCACAATTTTAACCTCAGTAATTTTATTTGTTGTATAAATTTAATTGAACGTAAATTTCATGTTCTACAGTTCTAACCTCACATAACATTTCTATTTGTACAAGTTTATTTCACACCAGATCTTTCGTCTCATGAATCCTTGCTAAGTTTTGTTTTGTAAATACTTTGTTGATGAATGTTTTCTATCATATAAATTATTTGATGTCCAACTTTAATCCCACATAAGAATTATTTGTTGTTTAAGATTTCACAAGATTGTATGGCGAATTTAAATGTTGTTTATTGCTCTTTGAAACTTTAACACTTGTTCAGTTGTTGTTAACATCAGAGTTATAAGAGATTGAATGTTTTAAAATGGAATTGAGGTTAAATGACACAGAAAACGTGGCAGAAGCGAGGTTTGGTTCCTAGTCGAGCTGGCGAGATTTATCGCGCCACCTGTACAAGTCCACAGGTTTGGATAGATTCAGGGGCGGCCGCCGATGTTGTAAATTTCTAGGCTCCTGTACATAGCCTAGATCTCTTGCGGGTTGGACGACCGTAATGGCCTAGTTCCGCAGGGCAAAGTTCGTCATGGGATATGCGTGTGGGGTAGGCTTTGCGATAGATAGAATCACCGTCGCGGGGGGAGAACAGTTCCAGACCGGTAGCTCAGACTCCGCTTATGTCACAACGCTCCAGGGGTACTTTTCTTGTGCTCCTGTTAACTGCCGTAACAAAAAAAAAAAAGGAAAGGAGATCGGCCGCCACACGCCTGTAATAACTTGTGTACTTGCATCCAGTTACTTGATTCAGTTTTTGCTTTGTTTTATTAAACTTGTGATATTCCAATATTTGCATTGATTCCAAACAGATGTATAGAATTTTCGTTTGTTCGTTTTCCATATGTGTATGTCTGTAAATTCGCGAGTGTTTTTCTTCCAGTCAATTCGCGAGTGTTTTTCTTTCAGTCAATTCGCGAGTGTTTTTCTTTCACATATCTTAAGGTGTTTGAAATGTAATAAAATGTCGTCCGGGAATAAAACCAAGGGGGTTTTTGCGCTGAGGGGTAAATCTTCGCAGCGCCTTTCCCCCTGTGAGGGTGGTGCCGTTTCCCCCCCTCCAAAACAATTTTTGTCTATTATTTCTTGCGCTCTCGACAGTGTATGCACTTGTATGAAAGAACTTCTTCCCGCCATTTTTCAAAAGCAAAAAAAAAAAACACAACGTAGGTTCTCATTTGTTAGACGATCACAGCCAAGGCCAAACTTTGAATTTTTAAATTTTTGCGGGCCTTTCAAACTGTTTCAAGGTCAAATTTTGAAGCGGGAAGTTTGGGTTATCACAGAATTTGTTGCCGCGTGACCAGGATACAATGTTTGCATACAGCTTTAGAGAGATGCATTGTTGACAGACAACACATATTTTGTTATTATTTTTGTGTACTGCCGTTTGTTGTTTGTTTTATGAAATCCGATCCTGAGCCAACAAGACCGAGCCGACCGATGGAAAGAACAACTAGTCAGCTTCCAACGACACCGGCCTCCAGGTGAAAGCGATACCCGATTGACGACGACGTCCAAAAAAAATGCCGAGAACGAGACGACAGCGACCGCCGATGATCATTTAACGCCCAATGCCCAAATGAACGCGATTGCCCCAGACGAAACCAAAAATCAAGTTCTGGAAGTCCCAATGATTTGATCGAATATTCCAGTGACGTGCGATTGAAGTCCAGCTCCGAAGCCACACTCCTGGAACGAGATTTACTTGTCAGGTAAAGTTGCTCGTTCCAATTCAATGAAACCCGATATCTGAGTGTTGGGTTTCTGCACTAATCTTTCAGCAAGATCTTTTAGCACCAGGATTTCCTAGATGTCAGGAGAGATTTTACTAACGATGCCTGAAATTTTCCATCTCAATTTCAGAAATTTGTTTCCAGAACCAGATGACCAAAATTGTGTCAGGATGTTTGAATTGGGGGCGAGAGCTTTTA